TTTGGGCGCCAGAGGGCGTTCTTTACACGAAAATCACCCCAAAACATTTTAATGGTTTTTCTCAGATACTTTATGGTCTCCGGTTGGGTAACTCGTCAAAGTAAAACCCCGAGGCCCAAAATTTGTGACTTTTGGGGCCGAAGGCCTATTTACGACCGTGCCTTTTGCCCAACTTCGTTGTCAGCCCCGCAGGCCTAAGTAGATGTGTGCCAGGCGCGTCGCAGCGTAACAGTGTTTCGTGAGATATCGCGAAGCATGTTACGTGAGACGTGGTCTGGCGTACATCTACCTAGTTACCATTCCATCCCTGGCCAGGCGCGTTGTGTTGTAGCGTAACAGTGTTTCATGCGATATCGAGGAGCCTCTTACACGAGACGTGGTATGGCATACATCTACCTTCCTTGTTTAATGAGTTACTTCGTAGAAAGCCATATCCAATCTATAAAACAGTCATTTCGTTTTGTGACCATTTTTATTGGAGAGACTCCCTTTCGCGCCTTAACAGTGATAGAGCAGAACAAACGAAATTTTAGTCCCATAGGGTTCTACTTTCGTGATTTACTTCTCGGGAAGATACATCAAGAACCCAAATCAAAAATTGCGTTTTCCGTCTCTTTGTATTAGAGAAATTCCCTCTAGCGCCTAAACGGCGAGAGGAAACGGACCGACGGACAGACAGACGCAGTGGCGATGGCATAAGCCCTCTAAACCAGCTTTTGCAAAAGCAGAAGAGCGGGCTAAAAACGGAAGGTGGAAAGGCGCTCGCACCGTCCCCCTCTTTACTGGGTGGAGGGGGAGGGGGGGGTGCCAGGGGAGGAGTGCAGACACCATTCCTCCATTCCATATTCCGTTTGTGTCCTTTTTTTCCCGCTCCACGTTCCATTGCAATATCCTATTCTGCTCGAGATATCTCATTATCAAATAATTTCATTACAATTACGTGATATTATTACAGCGAAAGTATAGGGCTATTCCGCTCGACGCGGTAAGAAGACCACAAGAATCAGAAAAGACGAGGGTGGGGGGAGCGGCGCGGGGGAGCGCGGGCGGGTGGGGAAGCCGCCTCGCTACCCCAACCCTCGTCTTTTGTGATTCTTGTGTTCTTCTTACCGCGTCGAGCGGAATAGCCAATTTAGCATGATATTTTCACTCTAAATATCGAGATTGAAATTCGGACGGACCACCACCACCGCGCAGTTAACAAAAGACAAGCGGATCTAGAAGCAGGGGGTCGCAACGCAGTGCGCGAGCCCCGGAAGTCACCGCCCGGACGGTGCGAACCGGCCGTTCAAACCAACGCTCAGTGCTCCTTACTGCAGATTAGCTGTGTTTATAATACTTTGCCACGCAAGAATCGTTAAGGATAGTTTACAATACGTTGCCGCAGATCACAAGGATCTAGAACGTAACAAGATCTCACCTATTTGGCGTTTTTAGCCCGCCCTTCTGCTTTGAAAAAGCTATCCAGCGGGCTTATGCAAACGACCTCGTGTCTGTCTGTGTGTCTGTCTGTTCCACAAGAAGGAGATGTGCTAGAGACTTCAAATTTTCAGGGGATCTCAAGGTTCACTCCCAGAAAACAAAACGCCTACGGCAAATCCTGCCAGCCACCCCTAAGGGGCTGAAAGGGGGTGTCGAAGAAAACAGGAAAGGTCAAAAAAGTTGAAGAAAATATTTCTTTTTTATGATCTCCTAAGGGGTAACTTGAGAAGGTAGAGCCCTCTGGGCGAAAATTTTGTCCGTTTTGCTCTATCTCTCACCGTTTGGGCGCTAGAGGAAGTTTCTCTCTCAAAAGTGGCCCAAAAATAAATTTATTAATTTTCGAAAATATTGGATGGTCTCCTTAGGGGTAACTCGTCAAAAGAGAGCCCTTTGGGCGAAAACTTCGTCCGTTTTGCTCTATCCCTAACCGTTTACGCGCTAGAGGGTCTTTTTAGACGAAAAATAACCTACAAATTGCCATCGTGAACAATAAAATGTGGAAAAAGGCCTAAAAACTTCAAAATCGAAAGGAAACTCGTCCCCCACCCCCAAAAAACGTTTTCGAAGCAGAAGGGTGGGTTGTAGTAGTGGTGCTTCACCGTTACATCCCTTTCTCGAGTCTTTGGGGCAAACTCAAAGATGACGGGTTTAAGCGGGCCGAAGGCCCGCTACAATAGTCGATCATGTTCTTCAGCAAACCGCGTGACAGAAATGGCCGGGCCGCAGGCCCGACCATCGCCGCCGGCAGGCCAAGCAGGCCCGGCCCCTGCCGAACGGAGTTGCCGGCGGAGCGAAGCGGAGCTGGCAACTTCGTTTGGCGGAAGGGCGGGCCTGCTTGTTTATCTCGTTAATGAACAAAACTATTTGCGAGCGCTGAGGAGACCGTGTCGCACTGGTCCAATACTTTCAGTATTTCAGACAAAATAATGCCCGACCCACATTAGGCTTTCGATGAAAAGGTAAGAGACACATTAACGAAGTGCTTTATAGGTGTTTGGTGTCGAACCGGCACCTCCCAAACCAAAAAAAAAAAAAAAATACGATTCGGCCAAATCGCGAAAAACAACGGAGGTAGTTTTTAGTAAATTTTGACAGACAACAAAAGTACTTTCTATTTCTAGACAACGCTCGTCCCTAACTCAAAGCTTTGAGTTAGGGACGAGTGACAAGTTAATGAAATTTGAATAAAAAAATACTAAAGAAAATTATTTTATTTTTTCTGGATATGTTTGCTATAATTTTGTCTGATGAAATTTGAGAAATTTGAGTTTGCATCCGCAAGTTTCCATGGAAAAGACGAGCTGAGCAGTAGGCCGAGTTGAGCCAGGGAAATTTCAACCAATCACAAATTTCCGCGGAAAAGTTTGACCAATAGAAACGATCGCCTGTTGTTTTGTACAACCCTATCCAAAAATTATATGAGCCTATGGCGTCGATACTCCCTGCTTTCAGTGGTCGCGTTTGAATAATAACAAGTTGCCGCTGTGTAAAAAGATGCAGCATAAGCGCTGTTTCGAACGTGACCGGTCAGCATCAGTCGACGATAGGCATTGTTAGCGAAGACTGTACTTCTGACTTCTAAATCGCATTTAAAAGAAGGCGCGGCGGCTAACAATGCTGCCAACCTCCTTTGCAGCTGGGGCCCGGCTCAGAGGAATATTTAAAAAAAAATATGATTTATAACCACAACTGTATATCCGCCATCTGATAATATTATTCATAGTAAGCAAAAAGTATGTGAAGCCAATTAGTACAACCAACCTATAACTAAAAATAAATATCATATCATTTTTAGTTATGACAACATCTAATATTGATGAATAGAATATCTTGACTATTCCGACATAAAAATTAAAATCTATAGGGCCGTTAACGCGTTAGCTTTAGAATTTGTGGTAAATATTCCTGCCATTGCACAGAAAGGATCTGGTTTTTGGGCCAATATTTGAATACTATACCTGTGTCTGGTTTACTTGTGCAACCAGAAACAACACAATTAGTATACCCCATATTGTATTTAATGGGCTGTATTTATATGCAGTTCAAATCAGGAATTATTAAATAAGACCATTAAATTTGACTCCAAGCTCAATGCAAATGGCACCGATGGTCTTCCCTTTCGTGTGTGTTTGAAATGAAAGCCTTTATAACAAGGCGGTAAGGTGGTGGCGTTCGAATATGATTATTGTCATCTGTGTCTGTTTCCTTACTATAGTAAAGGAAATGTTCATTCGGACGCAACCAGTCCAAAATGTTGTTGATGATTTGCCTGTTTTATTTAGAATTAGTGGTGAAAAAAGAAATATTATGAGAAGGCGGTAAGGTGGCGACGTTCGAAAAACGGTAGCGTCATCCTAGTTCTGTGCATTGTAGAAAAGGAAGGGATTGTTTGAACGTAGAATTTAGAGGTGTCTCCTTTCCTCTGGATTGGCTCGGCTCGGCCTGCCTGTTGCATGAAAAACTATCTTCATCTCTCTCGTGACGAGCCGAGTATCACCATAAAAACAGAGATTTCAATTAAAATTTTCAAAAAACTGAAAATTAAGTTTTTGATTAAACTTCGGGGGCCAATTTCAAATTGAACTTTCTAATTTTTCAAAAAAAAAAATAAGAAAATCGTTAGTCAGTTTTCTCATATCCCATGAAGGGCCATGTAAAACAATTGACTATCGCGGCAAAACGATCGTAGAAGACAACTCCGTGTCTAATAAACATTATAAAGCCGAGCCTACCGATCGGCGCCTATCCCCAGCTCATGTTTATAAACATTTTATAAATGTTTACACTTTTACGTGCGCCCGGGGACGCAGCCTATCCCGAGCCAAATTTCATAAACTTTTAGATTTCCATAGTGTCATTTGTGTACTTACTGCGGTTTATCTCAAACTTTCTACAACACTCAGCAATGTAGCAGTTGTTAGCCCTCTCCCGGCCGAAGCCAATAAAAGCTTCAAAGTTGTAATTTACTTTTCTTTGTGACGAAAAAGCAGTCAGACTGTAACAGAGCAATATATTGTAAACTTTCCTTAACGATTCTTAATCCCTCGAGGGGGCCACAACTCCGGCAATCTGGTGTACACCTACCCTGGCAATCTACGATAATCTTCGGCAATCTCTACGCAATCAGACCTCAAAGCCATACTTTTTAAATACATTCACGGTGCAAGTTGTGCGTTTTGCCTAGTTACAGGCATTTTATGCCCAAAAAGCAAAGTATTAGTCTAGCAATCTGGTGTGCCATCCACAGGGAAGTTAAGGCCCCCCCGAACGAAACCCTGCGGACCAAAAACTCTGTCTGACTTTTGAGGCTGAACGTCTCTTCACGTCTGTCTTTTACCCGGTTCGGGTGTCAGCCCCGCTGCTCTTGGCAGATGTATGCCAGGCGCGCCGCAGCGTAACAGTGTTTTGAAGCCTGTTGCGCGAGACGTGGTCTGGCGTACATCTATCTGGTTTAGTTCAGGAAGGAAGGACTAGCAAAGATGATTCATAAACCAGAGCTAACTCTTCTACATTTTCAGGAGTCTGGACTGCGGGAAGTAGATTTAAACGGTGGCCATAATGAGGGTTACGCGTGGTCGCAAACGACCACTGAGAATGGGCGAAGAGTCAGCTCTAACACGGCGTTTTTGGAGCGACAACGAGCAAACCGTTGTAATCTGCACGTAGTTACCAGTGCCCAAGTGTCCAAGGTCCTGATCAACAGCAACACAAAAAGCGTCGAGGGGGTGATCTTTACAGACAAAGATGGAAACACTCGCACAGTCAAGGCTAGAAAAGAGGTAGGAACAGTACACACTGTTTAGCGCTATTTTTTTCTTTTCGTTTAAGGGCGGGGGCCTAAGTGAAAGGAAAGCCCGCACCGTCTCCCCCTCCTCTAGGCGGAGTAGAGGGCAGTCGGGGAGGAGTGAGGGCGCCTTTCCGGTTTTGTACTTTTTGCTTTCGCTCCGCTCTCGATTGGAAAACCCTACCGAGTTAGCGTTTGAATTTTTTTTTAGTATCGTTTTGTACCATTTTAAGACAGATGAAGTGCAAAGATTCTAACTTAAAAATCGGCCTTGAAGAAATTTCAAAACCGACAGGCTGCAAAATCTTCAATATATTCTTCTTAACTTTCTTAGGGAAAACTCGGCAAGTCGAACGCTACTGGCGAAAATGCAAGGTACAAGAAAACGGAAGTCATCATGTTAAAGCATAGGTAATTCCGTTTTTTTCTTCCGCGCATTCTTCTGCATTTCACCTTTACCGGAGTGATTTATTCGTTCGCATTATAAATCCTCGCGTCTGTAACATGATGGTTCTTTTCTCTGAATTTGTTGACACATAACTTAGGTGCAGTATTGGTTTTGTTCCGGCCAAATACTTGCCGTCTTAAATTCCAGGGCCACAAGAATCCTATCGAATACTATTCAAATTTCATTGTAGCGAGGAGTGTGGGCTCCTGAATGACTGCCCTCTTTACATTTTCAGTTAATCTAGATTTGCGATAAGTCACTCGTCTGACTAGTGATATCTTATCTTCTCTTTATCGCTTTTCTGGACATAGGTTATGTTCAGCTAAAAAGCACTCTCATTAGTCTTCACAAAAGCATTCAACGACGCTTCCTACATGAACGCCTCTCCCTGCTCAGGTTGTGCTCAGCGCAGGGACCTACTTTTCGCCACAGCTACTCATGGTGTCAGGAATCGGGCCAGCAGAAGTTTTAACTGAGGCTGGCATCTCTGTCGTCGCTGATTTGCCCGTTGGAAGCAACCTTCAGGTAAATCTCACACGCGAACTCTGCGAACTATCGAATGCTTAGTTAAACTGTTCTTTTCCGTACATATTGTGCACGATTACATTCGTGTGCACACGGAGTTGGTTGCTCCCAGACTAGTACACAAATGAATTTCGCATTCGCTCGGACAACTAATGCAGTTGGGCAACTACAGAGAACGCTTCATCTGCCACAGTCACAGATTAGCTCACACAGCGAATTATAAGCTACTGTTCCTAATTTTCTTGTCTGTCCTCCAGGCAGCTAACATTTAGCTCGCATACGTACCGGTACAAAAAAGGGGGGCTTCAGCATGTCTCTAGGATGTCTCTTTGAGAGACATCGCCCAGACTCCGTCGACACTATCGCAAACTACGCCTGAGCCTGTGCTGAGGCAACTCAGAGACAATTGTCTCTAGGAAAGATCTCTTAAGGCCAAAAAGAGACATCCTAAAGCGGGCATGCGGACACCGAGCAGACTCTCAAAAGACATTACAGGGACCGCCTGGAGACTTCGTGAAGGCTTTCAAGAGACACTATACTATAGAGACATACAGAAGACACTTTAGACATACCGGAGGCACTTTAGAGGCATCCAGGAGACACTATAGAGACAACGAGAAGATATAATATAGACATCCTGAAGACAACCTAGAGACGTCCTCCGGTCACCGAGAAACAGCGCGCGGAAAAATGCGATGCGTACTGGTTTCACCAGCACGGTACATCGCGTGATCCGCACGGCGCGCCGGCCCGCCCGAACGCTGGCACGGAAAGAGGCGAACACGTCGCAGCGGGCGGGACTCGAACCCCCCGACGTCCGGTGTGGGAGATCGGCACGGTATCCACTGGGCCACGGCGAATACAGTTGTCGGTGGCTGCTCACTACCGCTACCGGATCGCCGACGACACACTTGTCTCTGCATCAAAGGAGGGACCAGCCCAGTCCCCCACAGTATTCGCGATGACCGGAGGACGTCCCTAGGTTGTCTTCAGGATGTCTATATTATATCTTCTCGTTGTCTCTATATTTCTCCTGGATGTCCCTGAAGTGTCTCCGGTATGTCTCTAAAGTGTCTCCTGTATGTCTCTACAGTATAGTGTCTCTTGAAAGCCTTCACGAAGTCTCCGGGCAGTCCCTGTGATGTCTCTTGAGAGTCTGCTCGGTGTCCGCATGCCCGCTCTAGGATGTCTCTTTTTGGCCTTAAGAGATCTTTCCTAGAGCCACTCTAAGTGTCTCTGAGTTGCCTCAGCACAGGCTCAGGCGTAGTTTGCGATAGCGTCGACGGAGTCTGGGCAATGTCGCGATGTCTCTCAAAGAGACATCCTAAAGGTACGTTGTTTTGTACGGCTATAATGTTAAGCTGGAGCGGCTTACCTTCCTTTTGTCGTTCATAATCTCTAAATTTCTTAAATCGGACATGAAAATGTACCAGTGCTGCCAGAAAAGTAGGCAAAACCCGCCCAACACACAGCTGTGTGGAGCGGTCGTTATCTATGCCTGCCTACTAGACAACATCTACACATTTGCCTAGTAGGCAGGCGTAGATACCGACCGCTCCGCACAGCTGTGTGTTGGGCGGGTTTTGCCTACTTTTCTGGCAACTCTGAAATGTACACATCTGTGCACAAAATAAGCAGAAATGTATACATATTTAAATGGTGCACAAATATTTTGTATAACGATATTGTTTAAATGTGCTCCACATCGCACGTAGAGCAGTACATAATATCAGTTCACATCACATTTTTGAGTAAGTAAGCAACACTGATTCCTTGTGACGAGAGTGGCTCTGAGAGATGTTTACAAGCAAAAACGGAAGAGGGAAATGCGTTCGCACCATTCCGCAGCTCTGCCATTGCGCGCATTTTCAACTTCCGTTTTTGTTCTTAGATCTACCGCTGCTCATCCTCGGAAAACCCTATCAGTTTCAGAAGCCTCAAATTTATGTGCAGGACCATCTTGTGATCACCACCATGCCAAGGTTAAAATTAACTAAGACTGCGGTCGTTCCATCCATCGATGACGTATACAAAGATATTGAAGATTTCTCTAAGGTAAAACCCTGATTTAAATTCAGAAATGTGTGACTTTGAGGAAAGGGTGCGATTTTGAGGAGGTAGATGTGAAATAGAAGGGTAGAGGGTGCAGGGAACCTCGAGGGGGGTTTTCACTTGCATAGTACACCGTACTTCGAAACTAGGTACTACGCGAAGTTTAACACAGAAAAATAGGAAAACGTGTTCAAAAATTGTAAAATTTCGGTAGCAAACCCTAATATACACCGGCGTAATCCCGAGTAATATACGAAACATGTAATAGAGTATTCCGCCTGCAAGACAATCGGAATCCAAAGTCCAGTCATGCCGACTGTCCGATCTGTTTCCTTCTGAACGATGATTAGTCGACGATGACGTCGGTGTCTCATTCAGCCGATGAGTGCACAAAAAAACAAGCTAGGCCCACCCTTCGGCCAAACGTACAGCGTGTTCGTAGTTCACCGTATTTTCGTCGGAAAAACGACCCTAACGGTGCAAGTTAGAGCCTAATAGACAAAATTTTAGTCCGAAGGCTTCTTCTGTTCAGAGCAAGGAGACCATAACTAAATATTTCTCCTACTTTTTTGGACCAACTCTTATTTCTTTGTTACCCCCTTTCGCTCCCTTAGGGGTGGTTGCCAGAATTTGCACCAGGGAGTAAAAAGGGGTAACAAAGAAATAGTGGTTGGTCCAAAAAGTAGGAAAATAACATTGTTTTATGGTCTTCTAAGGGGTGACTCGTTAAAGTAGAATCCTTGGGATAAAATTTTGTCCGTTTGACTTTATCTTGCACCGTTTGGGCGCTAGAGTGGATTTTTCGTCGGAAATACAGTGAAAATGACCACGTTGAGCATAGAAACGTGCAAGGAGGTGTCTAATCGTAAAATATCACATGAAGTCTCCCCCCTCCCCCTCAAAGAAAAAACGAAAAAACAAACAGAACATTCTGAATCAGGAACTTCCTACGGATATGCCGTATCTTTCACTGTATCGGCCCTAGATGTGTATATATTTAAAACAATGGTTAAAAGTCAAGTTTTAAAACTGTTTGACAAACAACACTAAAAATCCTAGAGCGAGGTTTGTTACCTAAAAAAATCGAGACAATCTTTCATTGCTGTTTTAAACGATAAGTCCTTAACCTCGCTCTGTGTTGGTATTAATTTTAGGATCTCGCTCTAATGTGGTATTGAAAATTTAACATCGCTTAGTTGGAGTATGAAATTTAAAACCTCGCTTAGTTTAAGTATTAAGACTGAAACCTCGCTGCCTATTAAACTTGTATTAAATTGAAAACCCCGTAAATTCACTGTTAATTGGTTGGAATCATTAAATACTAAATTATTTGGGGTCCCTAGAGGAGATAGTTTTGTGACATATATGTTGAATTGGACAGTTAGAGACCATGAACTAAAATCATACGGGGCCTTACCTTACAGACACACTGCAAATTCAGTAATGCTCGACCCAACAGCACTTTGGAGAGGGTTTGCGTACTTTGATTCAACCCAGAGTATTAAAAATCCACATATAACTTCGTTCTTGGCCCCTGAAGCAGAGGTGTGCATCGGGCGGTCCGCAGTCCCGGTAAGCTGGCCCGCCAGTCCCGGTAAGAACCGGCAAGGTTCCGAAAACGACAGGTGCGAGTGAGACGCTCGCGACGTTCTAGACGTTCTAGAGCCAGGAATTCAACAAAATTCATTTGTTATCCCTCAAAATTCTCGTGTAATCCCTGTAATCACGTAATCCTGTGTACATCCTTAAGTGAAGTGGTGTCCCCCTCTGGGGGGGGGGCTACTTCCTCTGTCATTTTACGGTTTGACACCTCCCAGACCTGCCACTAAAGGCGTACTAACACTAAATCGAACTCACAGCGTAATAACGCGTAATAATGGTAGAAAGCAATCGCAATAGTGCTGTAATCCTAACTTTCATAACTAACTCTAAAGGAAGGGTATACTAACGTGTACTAACGTACTAACTCTCACAATTTTATGTGGAGTGATTCTCCTCTCGGTATCTGTCCTATCGCGTTGTAGGACCCAGAACGGCAAGTTTTTTCACCCGTCGTCTGTTTTCCGCACAAACGTTTAGCACGTAGTAGGTCTATTATTCTGCTGTAAAAATATCCTCGTAAATCAACGTTTGATTAATTAATATTCTAATCAATATTTACCACACATATATGATTGTTAATTTAAGACGCCCAGGTCCTGTTCGTCGATGGATTCTAAGTAGAGTACTGCAGTATAAAGTATTGTGGCGGCAGATTTAGAGAAGACTCATGGTAAGAACAAAAGCCGACTGCGCATGAGCAGGATATGGTGGGGCTGGCTGGGGTCGGAGGGGGCACCAGGCCGGTCGAGGCGCCCCCCCACCATAGCCCGCGCATGCCCAGGAGGCTTTTGTTCTTCCCATGGGTCTTCTCTAATCCTGCCGTCGGAATGCTCTACAGGTAGTGATTGTTAATCAGGTTTTAAGACCTGCTTCATAGAAAAGTTTTCCGTTAGACTAACGGAGACTAACAGCGATTCCTGTTGCCCATAGGCTGACGGCCCGCGAGGCCCAGGGCCCATTGGGACGATGGGGACGGACTCGGTAGTGGTGCGGATGCGCAGCCCCCTCCAGCCTCGGCACGACCGCAGACCCTACATCTACATACAGCACCCGGCTGTCGGGTGGCTCGACGGAGTTGAACGCACGCCGTACTGCGCAGACGGAACCACATCGCCGAACGGAACAGCAAGCTACTATGACTCGGTAAACGAGCCATTTGCCGAGGAGGGGTTCTATCGAGCAGGGGCTCAAAACAAATATACACAACAAACACAACAGCTTGATTTTCAAGCTTTATTCAAGCAATTTCAGTAAAATTCAGCAGTTCATATTTTGCAGTATGAAAAACATTACTATTGTATCCCAAGCTGCCAATCATGTTTTCTTAGTAAACCATCTTGGAATCCAAGGAGGCCGACTTGCTGCAAATGTCTCAGGTCAAAATGGTTTGTGTACAAATTTTATAGAAATCTTTAAAATGTAAAAAAATTGTTACACCGTTCTAAAAAATTTAAATGAAATTTTACAAATGTTTATTATATTTGGTAAAACTGTATACAGAGGTCTGTATACCGACGCAACCGTGCAACAAAGGTGGATCAAAAAGCGGTCGCTGAACAATGACGGATCAGAAAGCGGTTGCTGAACATCGACGGATCAGAAAACGGTCGCTGAACAACGACGGATCTGCTTTTTGCTGATCTCGGCATATTTGACTTTAGGGGCCTCTCACTCATCGCGGAGACGTTGTATCGTTTTCAGTAAAACATCATTTTAATTGTCATCATCTCGTGAATAAATAGAGACAACACCCAATACGATGCGATATCTTTAAGGAGAGTAAGAGGCCCCGAAAGTCAAGTATGCAGAGATCAGCAAAAAGCAGATCCGTCGTTGTTCAGCGACCGTTTTCTGATCCGTCGTTGTTCAGCGACCGCTTTCTGATCCGCCGTTGTTCAGCGTCCGCTTTTTGATCCGCCTTTGTTGCTCGGATGCGTTGATACGTTTTCATAAAATCTAGTACAATGTTGTATAAGGTCATTTTCTTACATAAAAAGACAGATCACGTTCATAGAGGAGCATTCTAGCTCAAAAATTGGCTTTTTAAAAAGATCAAAAAACACAGGCTGCCAAAAATATTTTTGATAATAATAGGTTTTTTACTAATGCTCTAGAGGTTACTTTTAAAAGAAAAGCCCCAGCCGAAAATGTTGTCCGTTTTGCTGTCGGACCGTTTGGGTGCTAGGGTAGACCATCCCGCGCTTGCAATTTTTTTAAGCACACTGAATTACTTGGTGGAATTTGATTCTCTGTCGGAAAATAAGGTTTACGTGTCTGAAGGTTTTTGAATTTTTTTAAAAATTGGTGGGTGCTCAACGCTCATGGAGTTTAGCACTACTAAAAGCCCTCTAAAGTCGCTTTAAATCGGCATGTTCCTGGAGAGTGTGCGTACTGGCGCCAACGGCAAAATTAGCGCCCATCTATGCTCATAATACATCCTTTACCCAAAATCGATGCGGCGTGTGGTTTTTGTGTGGTGACGATTCTTGCAAACCCTTACATTTCACAGGTCTGCTCCCTTAAGGGAGTGCGAGGCAGCAGCGAAGGGCCGCAAGACTGTTCTAAAAATTGTTTGAAAGTTTTAACTTGGCGTTTGGACCTAACTTGTGTTGAAACAGATCCTGTGCACAACGCGTGCGCAGCGGGTCTTTGCGTAACGTATGTAACCATGGAGCACAATAGTCAACGATCAAGTGTCACGAGGATATGGCAATCGCAGTGACTTGACTCAAACTAGGGAAGCCCCCGTGCAAAAAAATTGCCGAAAAATTGACCCAAATAAATAATAAATTTCGTTTATTACTAACAAATTTCTTAAATAGTTTCTATTTATGCAATTCGTAATTTTGTGACTTTTTTCGTTGCCTTATGAAAAATGTTGTATTTTTACAACAAAGAATCATAAATTGAAATTACAAAATTTGTTATAAATTTACTTCTTTTAATTTGTAATTTTACAAATAAATTAATATCGTCATCATAATTTATAAAATTTGTCGTAAATTTAAGAACATTTTTCCCACGCGACGGCCGGTCCCATTTTTATGTTTACCTTCACTGTGAGAAAAATGTTCGTAGATTTACGACAAATTTTATAAATTAAGCTTAAGCTCAGAGATATGAGTTTATTTATAACTACTTTTTTATCGTTTTTAGCAGAGGGGCAGAGGGTGTAGAGTGACAGTGTCATATCGCTCGATAAATTATGTTAAAGGAAGAAAAACCTCTTAGGGCCGCCGGAAAGTATCAGACATTACAAAAGTGAGTAGTAAAGTGTTGGTCGTTGCGCAGCATGCCCGATCTATTGCCACCGGCAGGCCAAGTAGGCTCGATTTCTGCCATGTAGGTTTGCTTGTATTGGGAACTTTTGTAGAAAGAAAAAATCCGTCGAGAACGTTCACCTTATGTTGAACAGAATCCAACAAAATATTTTCTTTTAATACCAGATAATGCCGTTCGTCGTTCTACTGCATCCAAAGGACAGCGGGAGAGTGAGCATCAACACCACAAACCCACTTGGACCTCCCGTCATCAGTCAGAGGGTTTTCCAGAACTATGAGGTATAAAAGTCAAAATGTAAAGTGTCTTATCAACGGACTGTGCTTACAGCCTTTTGTTCAAATCTCACTATATAATAGCTCTATAAAAACTTGCCCAAGTTTTATACGTGTTAAGTACACAATGCGCGTGGAAAGTTCACGGAAGTGTTTGCGTAACGATCCTGTTCTTTGTTATAATTTTTAATGTTTGCAACGCACTTTTAATATCCCTGGGCTGTTTGTACTTTTCGCATTATTGGCGATTCCTTGTATTGATGATACAGAGAAGGTGCACTTCATAGTGCGGGCAAAAAATGAACAGTCGATTAGATAAACCAGATTTCTCTCAATCTCAAGTATAGTGCCATTACATAGCACAGCCTAACCCTCATCCTTTACTATTGACGTTTTCTGTTTTGACAGGATGTTCGGGCTTATGCAGCTGGCCTAAAGAAAGCTGTAGATATACTTTCTTCATCAAGGAGCCTCCGAAAATCGGGCGTTACACTAATAGTCAATGGTGGTGAAGCATGCAAACACATCCCTAAAGGATGTCAGGCCTGGTAAGTCCCTGACACCTCGTAAGGTACCGATATCTTAGCGTTTCAAAAAAGTCTGTAGTCTTTACGTCACCTTGAGCCAAAACGTTTTTTGTTTGTTTTTTCAACAAAATTTGGGTTAGTTCGACATATTTTAAGAAGTACAGGCAAGAATGCACAGTATTGCCAAATCTCATGCCCTTCCGCCAAACGCAGTTGCCAGCTCCACTTCGCTGCGCCGGCAACTCCGTTCGGCAGGGGCCGGGCCTCCTTGGCCTGCCGGCGGCGATTTCCGGCTCGCGATTAACTGAAGAACATAACCAAATAAATAATGTGACCGGTAAATCTCTATGCATATTTGAGTAAACTAACTTCCGGCGGCCTGCGGCCCTAGAGATTTGCTCCTTTTACATGACAAAAGACTGTAACGGGGCAACACCGTGACTAAACCAACACCCCACCCTTCTGCTTTGCTTAAGAAAAATACAAAAAAAAATGTACCAGCGCAGTTTTAGATTGTATTGTTCGTCCTTAAAACTTGACTTTTTGCCATTGTTTTCAATACATCCACCTCTAGGACCGAAACAGTGAAAGATACGGCAAACGGTAGTTTTCTAATTCAGATTGTGTTGTTTGCGGGGGAGGAGGGGGGGTACTTCCTCTCCCATTTTAGGATTGGACGCCTCCTTGCACGTCTATGTGTGCAACGTGGTCATTTTCGCCGTATTTTCGTCGAAAAAAGCACTTAAGAGACCATTTAAAAAAAAAATCCTACGTTTTTGACCAAACTCTACTTCTTTGATACCCCCTTTCACCAGGCGTTTCGTTGTCCAGGAGTGACCCCTATGATACCCTAAAATTTGTAGACCTCTAGCTCACTTCCTTCCTTTTACACGGACGACGGACGGACGGACACGAGAGCGGTTGCATTTCTTTAAAGCAGAAGGGCGAGGTGAAAACCACGTTTTGCAGATAGGCGTCTGTGTATTCGGCACGGGCACAGCTGTGCTCTCATTTGGAAGCGTCGAGCTATGAAAATAAAGGACATCTGCCCGGTGAATGTTGCAATGGAAGATAATTCTTCGTCTGTTCTGCAGGTACGAGTGCCTCGTCCGCACCGAGGGTGGAGCCACTTGGGGTCACGGCGTGGGCACGTGCAGTATTGGCTCCGTGGTGGACTCAAGGCTGCGCGTCCTAGGCGGGGTGCGCAATTTGCGCGTCGCCGACGCCTCTGTCATGCCCTGCGTCCCGGGCGGTGGCACCAACGGCCCCAGCATGATGATCGGCGAGAGGGCGGCAAACTTTATCAAACTCGACCACGGCGTGTCTTTGTAGCTGTCCCCCGACGATATTGTATAAATTAGACGAACTATATGCAAATTTGAAAAGGCGTCCTGTAATACTGTATCCTCTGCCTCTAACAAGAGGCCAAGAGGCCTTGAACCCAAAATATTTATGTTCTGTGAATATATCGAGGGGGCCACCACGCGCATAGTCGTGTGAACGGCCACATCCAGTGTGAGCCGGGCCTACCTGCGGGGCTTTAAAATCTGGTTATATGAGCCGGGACTGGTCAGGAAGTGCGCGTGACTCGACAGGCCTCTAGGCCACCCTGCCCGCCCACCAAACTGGTCACTTGCGGGGAGGACTCGAACCTAAGGTTCAGGACCACATGCCAAAGCGTTGCACGGAGCGATAGTGGAGTGCAACTTTTCACTGATAGTATTTTTGCCTATTTACTTCTTTGAATTTGGTTTGATAGTTATGGTTTGCTTCGTTTTAATTTTTGGTACCGCTAAAATATATTTTACGTCTCTTTCGAAATCATCTAAGGACATCGACCGTTCACACAGAGCCTAGGAACCCATGCCAAAGCGTTGCGCAGAGCGATAGCGGAGTGTAACGCTGCATTGACAGTCTCTTTACTGATTTGATGTATTAAATTAGGTCTGTTAGTTTAGGTTTGCTTCATTTTATTTAAAAGCAAAGCGGAGTGCAACGCTGCCTTAGCCCGTGTAGGAGCTACGCTTCGCTCCACCGGCAACTCGGTTCGGCAGGGACCGGGCCTAGCTTGGCCTGCCGGCTAGGGCGTTCCATTTTAAGGAGTGAAGCCACCGATCTATTCGGAACGCAGCTTAAATGAAAATACACTTCGAGGAGTTTCCAGCGAAGGGCGCTGCGATGTCAGGAACCATGCGCAAGAATGGATTTTAGGCCTTTGTCACTTTCGCGCCAATTAACACACGACACGATTTTTCCCCTGCCGCGCTGCGGACGCGTGGCCGAGGCCAGGGACTCGCTGTCCTCAGCCCGATTACTAGGCAATACACGCATGTAATGCGCGTAGCCAGTTAGCCCTCTTCAGGCGTCTTCAGGCGTGTTTTTTAGATTTTTAGACACGAAGTTGTCTTCTACTATCGTTTTACTTTCCTACTTTACTTTACTATCGTATAGTCAATTGTTTTATATGGCCCTTTATGGAAAAAAAAAATTCCTTCCTACGATTTCCTTAATTTTTTTTTTTAAATAAAGAATTTTTACATACAACGTAGTGCGCAAAATTTTAAAAAAAATTACGAAACCGTTTTTTTTAAAATTAAAGATAAAGTTCCCGTTACCATGGTAATACTCGGCTCGTCAAGAGGGAGATGGAAATACTTTTACATGCAACAAGTGGGCCAAGCCGAGCCAATTCAGAGGAAAAAAGACACCTCTAAAGTCTACGTTCAAACAATCCCTTCCTTTGCTACAATGATCGAAACAAGGATGGCAATAAGCTTTTTCAAACGCGGCCCGTCTACCGCCTTCTCACAATAATTGTTTGATCGCCACGAACATCAGACTAATTTACATAATTTGGGCCCCACACGTTCGAATCAACACTTCCTTTTCTATAACTATAATAAGCAGAGAGAAATAGCGAACTCACATTCGAACGCCACCACCTTACCGCCTTCTTGTAAAATGCTTAGTATGACATACAAACTAAAGGGAAGACCATCCGCGCCATTTTGGCTTTGACTTTCGAATTTTCGAATTTGTCTTATTTAATAATTCCTGATTTGAACCACGTATAAATACAGTCCATTAACTACAATATGGGGTACACTAATTGTGTTGTTCCTCGTTGCCCAAGTAAACCAGACACAGGTATAGTATTCAAATCTTGGCCCAAAAGCCAGATCCTTTCTGCACAATGGCAGGAATATTTACCACAAATTCTAACGCTAACGCGTTAATTGCCCTATAGATTTTAATTTTTACGTCGGAATAGTCAAAATATTCTATTCAATATTAGATGTCGTCACATGATATGATATTTATTTTTAGTTATAGGTTGGTTGTACTAATTAGCTTCGCATACTTTTTGCTTACTATGAAATAATATTATTAAAAGGCGGATCTACAGTGGTGGTTATGAATCATAGTTTTTTTCTTTTAAATATTCCTGGGAGCCGCACCCCAGCTGCAAAGGGCGATAGGTTGGCAGCATTGTTAGCCGCCGCACTTTCTTTTAAATGCGATTTCGAAGTCAGAAGTACAGTCTTCGCTAACAATGCCTATCGTCGACTGATGCTGACCGGTCGCATTCGAAACACCGTTTATGCTACACCTTTTTACACGGCGGCGACTTGTTATTATTCAAACGCGACCTCTAAAAGCAGGAAGTATCGACGCCAGGCTCATATAATTTTTGGATAGGGTTGTACAAAGCAACAGGCGATCGTTTCTATTGGTCAAACTTTCCCGCGGAAATTTGTGATTGGCTGAAATTTCCCTGGCTCGACTCGGCCTGCTGCTCAGCTCGTCATTTCCATGGAAACTTGTGGATGCAAACTCAAATTTCTCAAATTTCATCAGACAAAATTATAGCAAACATATCTAAAAAAAATTCTAATTTTCTAAAGTATTTTTTATTCAAATTTCGAATGAGTAACCGCAACAACCAGTCAAAACACTACAGAACATTCACATTCACATTTAAATACATATTGAAGAACTGAAACGCGTGAGATTACTACTTTAAATATGAAAATCTTTCTACAACACATTAGTTGCTTACACTTCTCTCCTTTGAGATAAACTATTGCATAACAATTACAGCTACTTTTTTAGCACGTTTCAAATTTATTTCTAACGATAAACTACCTTCTTGTCTACCACAATTTGACAGAATCGTATTTTTTGGCCATGTAGACAGCATCCTCGGCGTGACCAGCCTGGAGCCGTGACTCCCACCTGCCCTGCCGCCGAAGCCCCCTCTCCCGTCCCCGCCACTCGGCAGAGATCTGCGATGGGCGGGCGGGCTCCGCCCGCTGCCTGAGGTGTGCGAGAGAGAGCGACAGTGATGGGCGGTGTGCTGCGGTGCTGTGGCTTGGCGTGGTGGAGGCAGTCACTGGCCGGACATCCGAACAGTGCCGAAGTCACCTGTGCCGGGTCCGCGCGCGCGGGTCGGCGCTGGCCGACAGCTACTCTCGCCACGCCAAAAAGTGCCGAATGAAGCGGGCGGAGCAACCGCCCGTCTCCGGGCTCGGTCCGGGCGGCCACCCGGCCCATCGACGAAGAGACGGGCCGGGCCGGGCGCTCTGGCGACGAGCGCTCGGTGCTGCCGGGCGGAGGCCGCCCGCCCATCGCAAAGCTCTGCCACTCGGCTCCGCACATGGTCGCTCCAGCTGAGGCATTGCCACAGACGGCGCCGCTGGAGCCCCTGCTCTCCTCGATTAAGGCCCAGCCGCAACCTGCGTCACCTGCCACCCCTCACTCACTGCCTTCGCTTAGGTCCTGCAGCCTCCTTCGACGCTGCTGTCTCTCAACGCACGATCTAACGCAAACTGCCAAGGTCCCGCGGTTCGATCACCCCAAAGTCCTCAACTGCAGCGACGCGACGCCTGGCAGACGCTATGCCTACTGCTTTACAGGACGAAAAATCACATTTTCTCCTCTGCGAGCGACCTCCCGTTTCTCAATAAACGCCGCTGAAGCGGCTGCTTAAGCAATACAGCAATTTAACAAAAACACAATTCGCATTTGCTTTTCCGATAGCAAAATTGAGCGTCAGCACACACTACAAATAGTTAAAGTGACACGACAGACATGAAGCTAAAACAAAATTCACATGTTATAGATAAAAAAATATAGAACAAATAAACTGAATTTTTAAAAAACATTTTTTTTTTGGTTTCAGATGGCAGAAGGACCTAACGCAGCACAAGAACAGACTGAAACTCAAAACTTTTTCAAAAGATATAACAGTGAAAACCAAAATTCTGTTCCGACATACATGCCCATTTCTAAACTTCCCCTATTTCTTTACTTTCAATTAACAAGTATCGGACCGTTCACAACAAGTGTTGGTCCAACAGCAAGAGTCCAATGTAAAATTCAAGATGATCAAGAAGTTTTTTTCTTCCTCAACCGCATTGGCTTTGCCAAATTTACAAATCCTGCCGAAATTCAGTTATTGCAAAACTGCATAACAGAAACATCAAGCCCTTTTGTTTTCATAGCAAAAACTACCAGAGCACCGAGAGTTGTATTTGTTCCATTTTGTAAGTAAAGTAAGCAAAAACACGAATCAATTAACAAAAAAGAAAAACCATTAAATTTTAGCTTATTTTTTGCAGCTGAAGAAATAAATGAACAATACATCACCAAAAGTAAAGTTAGAATTTCTAAAATACCAGAAGGTGTTCCTAACCAAATGAAATTTGTGGGTAGTTATTATACGTTTAAAAGTTTAAGATAATGTAAATGTACAAATATTATCACAAATATTTAATTTCAGATTTGACACGAGCAGGTATTGTTCTCCCACAGTAATTAAAAGAGAAGAAGCTACAGTACAAGACATCAAGATGAATACCACTAAGGCAATAAAAAGAAGATAAATATACATTGTAACACTATTGAACTTACCAAAATTCAAAACCAATAGGTCTAAAAATTATATTTGGAACTTTTTTTTTTTTTGCTGTTTCTTCAGTACAATTCCTCTTCAAAGTAGAATCCTTAAAGCAAAATTTTATCAGAGTTGCTTTATCTCTTTCCGTTAATGATTTAGAAAGAATATTTCCCTAAATTAATTATTGCTGAGCGAAGCGAAGCTTTCCGGAACAGTGGACTGAGCTCTCTGGTGGACCTGGCGTGTCGTTGGTCGTGAGTCTGTCTGTCTGTGTGTGAGAATAAACTTCTCCTCTTACGCTGTAGCCGACCGCGCTAAGAGTTAATATGTTTTGGAATGGACAAATTACGAGCTTTCTTAATCACTAAAGAACGTGGCGATTGATTGTGTTTGGGACATTTCATTATAATTTGTAATTCGAATTAAAAGTTCAACAGTTGGCACCAGTTCGCGGCCGCGGCGCGGTGTGGCCATTCGCCGCTAGGTAGCGCTTGGCGCAGCAGCATGGTGCAAGTAAAGTTAGAAAGGCTCACCTCGAGTTTTTGATACCTCCTCAACAGTGATTCAAATACCAGATTGTCAAACCAAGTGTGGAATTTATAGGCCCCCGAGTAGGGGTGCCTATTGCTTTCGCCCGAAAGTTTTTTTTGTTATTCTTGACTGCTGGCCCCTTGTGGCACAGCCAATCGTGCCCAAGCGAATTAATCAAATTTGAATGAAAAATAGTTCAGAAAATTTGGAATTTTTTAAGACATGTTTAATGCAATTATGTCTGATGAAATATGAGTTTGCATCCACGCGTTTCCATAGAAATGACGAGCTAAGCAGCACGCCGAGTCGAGCCAGGTAGACTTCGGCCAATCACAAATTTGCGCGGGGAAGTTCGACCAATGGATTTGCTTTGTGCAACCCTACCCCAAAAATATTTGGCCCTGGCGTCGATTCGATAGTCGCGTTTGAATAATACTATCGTGCCGCCGTGTATAAAGATGCAACACAGACGCCGTTTTGAACGCGGCCGCTGAGCGCCAGCCACGGCTTTGATTGTTGGCTGCGACTGTAGTTCCGCCTTGTAATAATTTCGTTTCAAAAGGGGCGGAAAGTTTACGGATGCAGCCAACCTATAACTGAAAATAGATATTATGTTTTTATCTTTATTTAAGATTAGGAGTGTCAACATATAACATACAATACGTCTACATTATACGTATACGTTCTTTATATTTGAAAACATTATCAGTGATCTCTTAATCTGCTGACGCTGTGTTAGTAATATTTTTGAAAAGTTCACGTTACCTGTCCTGAATGTTATGGCGGGTGTTCATTTAAGCCATTTAAGCAAGCTAGCGTGGCAAACGATCAGCATTCTAAACTTTGAAATATTTATAATAGACAAATTATGTAGAATTTTAAGTGCACAGAAAATTAGCCACCGTAAATATTAAGATTTTTAGTCTATCATTAATTAATCAGATCAACATAAATTTCCTAGATATTTGGCTGCAGTGTACAGCAAAATCAGTAGCTAATGTGAAGAATCGTAGTATTATTTTTCCAAAGTTAACATTAAAATTTAAGGGGGCCGTTAACGCGTTAGCGTTAGAATTTTTAGTTTTAGAGTTGCGGAACTCGTCCTACAAAGTTTCGCGAGTGTCCGATAAGAATGAACCAAAGTAATATTTTGAATGGTTTACGTACGTATGTTGAAGGGAGGGGAGGGGGCGGGGGCTGCTGGTTTGGGGAAAATGTGAAAATGTAACCAATGAGTCGGATTCATCTTG